TCCCTTTTTCTCTATTATGCCAGAGGAGGCATGAGACTCTGTCAGATTTAACTGGCTGTTACTCTGAGTTTAATCCAGGTGGCAGTGGAGCCTGTGTGCTCAGTCCATTCTCTTGATGGTCCTAGATATGATACAGTTGCTTCTTTCTTCACTCACACTACTATTTTTGTGTACAGCAGGATGAATGGTGTGTTCCTCCTCTTGTGACTTGGCTTGCTTTCCTGTCCTCCTTGTACTACAGTATCCAAAATTCTAACAGTTTTTTCTTTCTTCCTTTCTTTTTTAATTGTGATAAATATATATGTAACAAAACCTTTAATACTTTGTCAATATTCACATGTATTTTTAGTGACATTAATTATGTTCATCATTTTGCTCAACCATCACCTTTTACCCTTCCCAAATTATACTTTTTTAAAAAAATGGCATTTTAGTGAAAGTTTACAGAAAAGATGGGTTTTCATTCATTCAATGATACACATTTTCCTCTCTCCTTCTCTTATCAATTCACTTTGTAATGCATGACTTGTTCCAGATTGTCACTTGCCATCCATGCAGTGTCTAATCATGTATTCTCTTCAAACATTCCCATCCTTTTCCCATCCCAGTTTAGGTTTCGTTATCTAACCATTCGTTCCTTTCTCTCCTCTCCTCCATGTCCATTCTGTTTTTATAACAGTAGTCCAATGGTGTATTTGACCTTTGTGACTATTTCATTCAGTATAATGTCTTCCAGACTGATCAGGTTGTGTACAAGTTCATTATTTTCATTGGGCATAATATTCCATTTTGTGGATATACCACCGTTTTTTAGTCATTCATTTGCTTCCATCTCTTCACTGCTGTGAATAATGCTGCAATAAAGATAGGTGTGCATCTGTCTGCATCATGACTCTGTTTTCTCTAGGGTATATTCCTAGTAGTGGAATAGCTGGGTCAGATGATATTTCCATTTCCAACTTTTTGAGAAAGCACCAGACTGCCTTCCATAGTACCATTTTACATACCCATCAGCAGTGAATGAGAGTTGCAGTCTCTCCACATCCTCACCAGCATTTGTTGTTTGCTGCCCTCTTGAACTTTGCTATTGTTGCTGGGGTAAGATGATATCTTATTGTTGTTTTATATACCATCACTTTTAACAGAAGCTCAGTGTCCCCTCAACATTGTATTCCCCCTTCATCTCCTTGCCTGCTTACCTCTGGTAAGCATTAATAAATTTGGTCTCTGTACATTTATGTATTCAAGATAGTCCATGTAAATAGACTCCTTTATGTAAAAACACTGCAGCGAGTTTGAGAGTGACAAAGTCTGTTAACCCCACAGGTGAAGAATCCCTTTCAAGGACATCAGCAGCACAGAGTTGATTTTTAAGCAAAACATACCCCCTACACTCCTACACCTTCTGTCAATTCTAACATTAACTATCCTTCACATCACTCTCACTGTGCCACTACTAGGTTCAATAATTTATTGCAGTGTCTATATAGAACAACAACAGCATAGAGAGAGATCAGTTGGCCTAGTGGACAGAAAGTCATGCTCCCAAACCAAAGGTGGGTGATTCTAATCTGAAGCTCTCAGGCCTGCCTTTACTTGTTTTTGGTGAAACATTCTTATAGGTCATATAACCCTGGTATGTCCACTTGCTGTATAGAGGTAACTAGTGGTTGCTGTGAAGCTGAACACTGTGACACTGATGTGTCAAATGCAAGAATGGTTACCCATGGTGGACAGTGTTTGGTGGAGCTCCCCAATTAAAACAAGGTTGGAAGCAGGACTGGCATCCACTTCTGTAATAGCTTGCCTCTGGAAACCCTATGAACCTGGAGAAAAGATGAAAATTATATAGGTGTCCAGGTCTTTTGTTCATAGGATCGTTATGAATCGCCTCTGACTCGATGGCACTTAACAACAACAACATATAGAACTCAGAGACAGTACTTACTATTACATGTTTCTTAGGGATGTAAAAAGTTCCAATTTAGGTTATAAACACTCAGGATGCAAGTCTTCAATCAGAGCCTCTTTTTTTTTAGGCTGTTCTCAGGCATCTCTTTGACCCTTGGCCTTGAGGCTTTGGGCTCTGTCCTGCTCTCAGACAGGTGTTGCAGAGATCTTTTAGTTGGGCCCCACTGCCCCTACTCTACCAGTAAGCCTAGACCAAAGCTCTGAGCACGGTTCCATGGGGCGGCTGATCTGGTTCAGCTCTGTCTCACTAGCCTCTGGTTCTTCACTGCTGCTCAAGCCACTGCCGCCATCTGGGCTTCCATGTGTCAGTCTCACTCTGTCTTGTTCAGGTAACTCTGGCCCAAAGAATAAGCTGCATTCTCTACTTCTTTTTTGATAGTACTGAGATTCTTTTTCATTCTCTGTGTGTGTGTGTGTGTCTCTCTTTTCTCTGTCTCTCTGTCTTTCTCTCTCTCATTCATTATAATGAGTCTGAACCAGCTCATAGATGACTCTTGGGTTTCCAAGGCTGTAAATCACATAGGAAAACCTGATTCGCTAGAGGCTCAGGTATAAGTCAGTTCTGACTCGACAGCACAAAACAGTAATAACAACATATTCTTACATTCATACACACATTTATACACAATAGCTTTATTAAGATATACTTTCCCATACCCTGGGAACTCTGATGGCATAGTCCAAAAGGAGTTACACTGCCAAACCAAAGGTGGAACCTCTCTGACAATTCAAATCCTCCAGATTTCTGGTGGAAAAAACACTTCATCTCCTCTTGTCAGCTATGAGTTGGTTCCATACACCCATTTAAAATTTCTTATGGTTACCGAGTTGTACAGCCATCACCACAGTCAATTTTAGAACATTTCCATCACCCCAATAATGAAGCCTCTCTGTCTCTCCTCCTCCACTCCCATCTCTAGCCCTAGGCAAACATGAACCTACTTTCTATCTTTGTAATTTTTCCTATTCTAAACATTTCATATAAGTCATATGTAGCTTCTTTCCTTTAGCATAATGTTTCCAAGATTCAGTCATGCTGTAGCATCTATCAGTACACCTTTCTTTTTATTGTGGAATAGCATTCCATTGTAAGGAGATACCATATTTATTTTATCCATTTATCAACTGAAGGGCTTTTAGACTATTTCTACTTTCTGGCTATTGTATTGCTATTTACACTTTTGGCTATTGTGAAAATTTATGCACAGCTTTTTTGTACGGGCACATTTCAATTCTCTTGGATATTGCTGTTGAATTGCTGTAATATAGTAACTATTTTTAGTCTTTGGAGAACTGGCAAACTATTTTCCAAAGTGGCTGCACCATTTGACACTACAGTAGTTTGGGTTCCAATTTATCTACATCCTTGCAAACACTTGTTTAGTTGATTATAATCATTCTAGTAAGTAGATTTGAACTGCAAGAGAGGCAGCACCTTTGGATAAGCAAACACAACTTCCTCCCTACAGACTATGCCACCAGCTCCATTAGAATGAGTGGGAGGTGGTATCTCTTTGTGGTTTTCATTTGCTTTTCCTTAGTGGTTAATGATTTTGAGCATGTTTTTGTGTACTTAGTTGGATTATTTATATTATTGAGTTGTAAGAGCTCTTTATGTATTCTCAACAGCCCATTACAATTGAGTTTATTTCAGCTTATAGTAACTCTACAAGACATAATAAAATGGGATTTCTAAGGCTCAGTATTTCTGGAAGCATCTTGTTTCCATGGAACAGCTAGTAGGTTCAAACCACTGACCTTTTGTTTGGCATCTGAATGCTTTAATCACTGTACCACCAGAATGACTCCTTGTATTCTAGAAAAAGTCTCTTATCAGATATGTTGTTACCTTTGAGTTACCTCCAACTCACAGTGACCCCATGTGTTACAAAGTAGAATAGCTCCTTAGAATTTTCTGGACTGTAGGGGTTTTTTTGGGGGAGGTGTTTTCGAGAGGGGAAATTGTCTATTGGTTTTCAATATAGATTTTTTATTATTATTAATTTTAATGAAAATTTACAGAGACTTTGGATTTCCATTCATTCATTGTTGCACTTTTCTCGCTGCCCACCACTCCTCCCTAGTTGGCTCTTTGAAAAGTAAAAGAAAAATTCTTTAATTGTTATACAGTCCCTCCCCCCAAGTCCACTCCATCATGCAGCCTTTAATTTGGACTCCTGTCATGACAGTAATACCTAACATTATATCCCTTTCAAACAGTCCTCTTCCTCATCTGTTTCAATGCCCTGTTTATTTATCCCCTCTGGCTGTAATTTTTATGGAAGCATTTTGTCAGACCGTATATTTTATTAATAATTTCTCCCAGTGTGTGTTGTTTTTTACCACGTTTTTAATTTTGTTTTGTTGTTAAAAATATATACAGCAAAATAAATACCTTTTTTCTTTCACTTTCTTGATGGGGTCCTTTGACATACAAAAGCTTTTTTAATTTTAATCAAGTATTTCCTGTTTTTTCTTTTGACACTTGTGCTTTCTAAAAAGGCTTTCCCAGCACCAGTGTCACAAAGATTTATTCCTATATTTTCTCCTCTGAGTTTTATAGTTTTGTTTGTCCTTATAGTTTTATCTATAAAACAAATCTTTATAGGAGCTCTGGTGGCCTAGTGGCAAGAAGCTGTGCTGCAATCTGGAAGGTGCACAGTTCAAATCTACTAGATGCTCCTCTGGAGTAGGAGGAGCAATCTCCTCCTAAGCCAGTTGGATCTAATTTGATGGTACACAACAAGAAAAGGAAAACAACCTTTTAGAGACTTGTAGGTCTGTGATGTGTTTTGAGTTCATTTTTTGCATATGGTGTGAGGAAGGGATCCCACTTTATTCTCTTCATATGGATATTCATTTGTTTCAGCATCATTTGCTGAGTGGTAGTTTGAATTGTTCTTTTCACTCATTTTCTGCTTATCAGGAAGAGACTAGCTTCATCTTGGGTTGTATTTATCCAGTAGGTTACTTTCTCATTCAAATTGTGTAATCCACACAGCTACAATGATGTCTCCTTTTATCATTAGACAGATTACATCAATGCCAGTTTCATGGATGGCTACAAGCAAAAGAATGCTTATATTGGTACACAAGGTAAGCTGGTCCATCATTTATTTACAAGTTGGTTTTGTGCCATCTACTTGTGATTCCTTGTACCTGATGATGGCATAAAGGAAATGGTGACATGAAGTGCTCTTAAAACTAATAGATTGTGTTTTTTGAGGAAGACAGATGAGTGTGGAGGGTTCCTGGAAACTCACTGCATATGGATAAACTAGAGATTCAGACACAATACTACTACCTACATGCTTTTGGATTGGCTTAGTATTTTTTTACTTTTTATTTTTTTTCTATGAATGATAATTTTATTTAATCATTTTGTTCACAACTAAAGTTCTGGGCATTTAAAATTAACATCTTTATACACTCCAGAAAGAGTTTCAGCCTTTTGCCCTGCATTATTCTGCTATTCTTTGTCCAAATGGATCTTTATAAACTGGCTGGCATCCATCCAGTGTGACACCTATTCTCACCCACAATTTCATTCAGAAATACCAAGTCTTTGAGGATTGCACCATGCACAACTGTCAAGGTACAAATCCTAGCGCGTGTTAGCTTATTTTTTGTGCAGCTTTTCTGAGTTAATTTTAGGCATAATTCTTCTTTGAGCAATAAAGACAACATACTTTCCACTGAACTTTTTCTCCAGTTCACGTACTAAACGGGCTTCTATCCTCTGGAAAGATTTCGGTTGAGGAATGAGAACTAAGATCATAATAGCTTTCCGACCACTACCAGCTTCAATTTCCTTAGCTGTGGTTCTTTTCAGCTCCCTTAATTGAGCTTTTAGGTTCACCTCAAGCTCAAGAAGAGCCCGAGAGATGCCAGACATTCATCTAGTTTCTCGCCATTGGAATTCACAGTCTTCACACTTGAACTGAATATGGCCTTTTTTGTACTGAGCACCAGCCTAAGAAGAGTGTGGCTTAGTATTCTAAATACAAGGAGCAGAGCATCATAACTCACTGGCCAGTGGCTCTTCATATTTAGTGTAGAAGGCTACCTCTGTCAGTGGAATTTCTCAGATAACATTTGTAGAATACTTTATTCTCTCTACTCTTCCCCTCTCCTCTCCAGTAATTCCTTTTGAGTCCAATGTATGGATGTGTGTTATCCTGAGAGGCCATTACTGTTCTCTTTACTATCAAAGAGCATAGGAAGTAGTGTTCTGACATGGACAATCTATCCATGGCCCAATCTGATACTAAAGTGCTTGACTAAGATAATTTCAGTCAAATTTTTTATAAATGACCTCTATAACTCTCTTTACTTGACCTTTGCCAACCTTAATGAAGATACCAAGTTGTTAAACTGGATAGGAAGAAATCAACACAGGAAGGAGGACAAAATGGGCCTAGTATATATAGGAATAAGGCCCTTTGATCATTTCAGAATATGACAAGTAAGAGGTTTGGCCTATACCTCTTTAACCAGGTGATCAAACTTATTATCACCAATAATGGCATATCGTGGGCCTCCTAGATATCAAAAGACTTATTGCACTGAGAAAATGTGCTATTAGGGACCTTTCCAGAATACTAAAGAGCAATGGTGTCAGTTTAAAGACTGAGGTGTGCCTGATCCAAGCTATGGTCTTTTCAGTTATTTACTTTGCATCTGAAAGTTGGACAGTGACTAAGGCTGATAGAAGAATTGATGCCTTTGCGTTATGCTGTTGGAAAAAAGCATTGAATATGCCATGTACTACTAAAAGAACAAATAAGTGTGTCCTGGAGAAAGTAAAACCAGAATGTTCCTTGAAGGCAAGGATGGTGAAACTCCATCTCATATACTTTGGGCGTGGTATAAGGAGGCGCCCCTGGAGAAGGACATCATGCTTGGGAAGGTGGAGGGTCAGCATAGGGGAGGAAGATCCCAACAGGATGCACTGACACAGTACCTGTAACAGCGGGTTCAAATATGTCAGATGGTGAGGGAGGTACAGAATTGGGCAAGGTTCAGAACTGTTGTTTGTAAGATTGCTCTGAGTCATATTTTATTTCATGGCACATAACAGTGACACTGTGATACATAAGAATCTCTGGAGGCATAGTCAGTAGAAAGGTTTGCTGCTAAATCAAAGCCTCACTCATCTCTGATGGTTCACATCCACCAGTGGCTCCTTGGGGAAAAGATAAGCAGTCTCCTATTACAGTTTACAGCCCTGGAACTGACTATCCAAAGGCATTAGATTGTGTGGATCATAATAAATTATGAGTAACTTTGAGAAGAATGGGAATTCCAGCACACGTAATTATGATGATGCAAAACCTGTACATAGATCAAGAAGCAGTGGTTTGAACAGAACAAGAGGGTACTTACTGCATGGCTTTAAACAGAAAAAGTGTCCATTATGGTTGTATTCTATTCAGTATGAATGGTGACCAAATAATTCAAGAAGCTGAGGAAGAATATAGTATCAGAATTGGAAGAAGACTCAACAGCCTACATTATGCAGATGTTGCAACCTTGCTTGCAGAGTCAAGATTTCAAGCACTTTCTAAAAAAGATCAAAGACTACAGTTTTCGGTATGGATTGTACATCAATATAAAAAAAAACAACCCAGAAATCCTTACCAGGACCAGTAGGCAACATCATGATAGATGGAGAAAAGATTGAAGTTGTCAGTGATTTCATTTCAATTGGGTCCATAATCAATATCATGGAAGCAGCAGTCACAAAATCAAAAGACATGGTATACTGGGCAAATCTGCTGTCAAGGACCTCTTTAAAGTGTTCAAGAGCAAGAATGTCAGTTCAGAGAGTAAGATGTGCCTTATTTATTTTAAGCCATGGTATTTTCATTTGCTTTATATACATGTGAATGTTGGGTGATGACCAAGATCAAAGAACTGATGCCTTTGAATTGTGGTTGTTGTCAAAGAATATTGAATATCTCATTAATTGCCTAAAGAACAAATTTGTTTTGTATGGAATATAACCAGTGTGCTCCTTAGAGGCAAGGGTGGTGAAACTTCATCTCAGATTCTTTGGACATGTTGTCAGGAGGTGCCAGTCCTTAGAAAAAGACATCACAAATTAAAAAAAAAAGTAAAAGACATCACGCTGAGGAAAAAAAAGCAGAGGACCCTTAATGAGATCACACACACAGTTCCTGCAATAGAAGGCATATTGGAGATAGTGAGGATGGTGCAGGATTGGGCTAGCTTTCAATCTGGCTGCTGTTCAGAGGGTTGCTGTGGGTCTTCGTCTACTTAAAAACACCTAACAACAACAAAGAGATGGCTAAATTCAGTGTCTAATTACACTTGGATCCTCAGTCAAGAGAAGGAAAATAAAATAGGACAAACTGTTGGGAGGATTAGAGGCTGTGTGTTAATGTTATTATATCAATGTTTAGGTGCTTAGGTGTGATAACTGTATTGTTATATAGGAGAATGTCCTTGATCTCCTGATATATGTTCAAGTATTTAGTAAAGAAAGGCCTTGTACTATTTAGCATTAAATGGTTTTGTAAAAAAGGAAAATATGTGTATCTACATAGAAACAGAAGCAAACATTATGGTAACTTTCTAGCTAAAGATTATATGGATACATATACTATTTCAGCTTTATGGAAGTTTGAAAACTTTCAAAATAAAAATTTGGTGAAAAGAAAAAATAACTTTTCAAGTTTTGGCACCTTGTTAAGTGGTCTGATGGTCACAGTTGGGTTGTTTGTTTCCCCTTGCAAGGCTACCACTCCCTTCAAAAGGAATGTTTTAGAGACCCTATGAAGACACAAAAGAACTATCAGGAAAGATTTTTGGCAGGTATCACATGGGTGATCTGCATGAAAGTAGGAGTTTAATTGAAGAGGACGACTTTAGTATGGATGAACTTTTTTCCTTTTTCTTTTATTTTTTTTTTAATTTATTATTAACGTCAGTGAAAATTTAGAGATTTGGATTTCCATTCATTATTGTTGTACTTTTTCTTTTTTTTAATATATATTTTATTGTGATTTTAATGAACATTTACAGAAAAGTTAGATTTTCATTCAGTCATTGTTGCACATTTTTCTCCCTCTTCATGGATGGGCTTTTGAAGGCTAGTTGTTTCAGAATGCTCCTATGTCTTGGTTGAGGAGTGTGCACTGCCTGTTGTTGGGTACCACTGAGTCAGATCGGACCCATCGCTGACCATCCAGCAGGTTTTCAGAGTCAGTTTATGGCACAGGAAGAGACTGCTCATCCTTTTCCCACAGAGCAGCTGGTGGATTCAAACCATGTACCTTTAGAAGTGCAGCACAGCTTTTTGCCACTAGGTCAGCAGAACTCTTTAACTGCCTAGAGTTGTTAATTATATAAGGATTAAATTCTTTAAGCTGACTTTGATGACCAAATCTAGATGAAACTTCTCCAGGAGGAAAGAATTCTTAAATCAAGTATTAGAAAGTATGTCTTCAACCTTTAAAAGGCTTTACCATCTATCAGAAAAATCAGATTCATTACTGTCAAATCAGCACTAACTCATAGCTGACCTCCAGCAGGTTTTCAAAAGCTGTTACTTGCACTGGAAAAGATAGCCTATTTTTCTCCCATAGTGTCATAGATGGATTTGAACTGCCAGAGAGGGACTACCTTTCGCTTAGCCGATTAAGCCCCTAAGGACCAGATCACCAGAGCTCTCCTCAGTATCTATCAGGACCGTAAAATGAAATATAAGTACAGCTCCAGATGATGCTAGAGAGGGAAGGAGTTGCCCATAATACTGAGGCAGCTGAATTGATTTGCTGAGCCAGTCTCCTTGGCTATATTCAGGATTCTGATTCTCATTTACAATAATTTTTCTACTAACAGTATGTGTCATATTAAATAGTTCTCTTATGTACTGGGTATATAATCTCTAATACGCATAAAAACTGCCTATTTTATAGATGAACAAACTGGTACTTAGAGAGGCTAAGTGACTTTGCATTCATTTAGCGTGTGCAGAGCCAGTATTTGCACTCATGTCTGTTTGGTTCAGAAATCCTTGCAGACTAAGTCAGTACCTATGTCAGCATAAACTTTTGGCTTTGTTTCTTTAAATAAGTCCACTTAAAGGGTCTGATCTGAGAAGGGTGACTTCTCTTTTAAATCACCCCCTTGAGCCTTTCAAGTTAAAATCTTCCTTTTCTGCACACCCATGTTTATCACTGCTTTGTTCACAATAGCAACGAGTTGGAAACAACCTATGTGCCCATCAACAAATGAATGGATAGAGAAGCTGTGGTATATTCACACAATGGAATACTATGCTGCATTGAAAAACAAGGAACTCATGAAATATTATACAAAATGAGTGACCCTGGAGGACATTATGCTGAATGAAGTATCTCAGTCCCAAAAGGACAAATACTGCATAGTGCCACTGTAGTAAAACAGGACTGACATTTGGGATTGGGGGGAGACTGAGAAAGATGGGATAAGTAATGTATACTGCTTTGAAACAGGTGAGGGAGAAAACTGTTTAAAAGGGATATGTGATTAGATATTATTGTCATAACTAGAGTCCAGAACAAAGGCTGCCTAGTGGAGTGGACTTGGAGGGAGGGATTATATAACATTGAAAGGGTTTTTCTTTTACTTTTCAAAGAGAAGAGTGAACTGTGGGTGAGGGTGCAACAGTGAATGAATGGAAATCCAAAGTCTCTAAATTTTCATTAAAAGTAATAATAATAAAAAATATTTAATAAAAAAAATCTTTCCTAGCCTGTGTCTGAATTGAATTTGGGATAAAAGATGTTCTGCCTGCTCAGCAGTCCCCAGTTCTGTAGTGATTTGGATGTGGACAATAAACTACATGAGACCTGCTGTGGTACAGGACTAGGTTGGGAATCAGAGAACATTTTTCCCAAAAAGTTTTCTTATCTTCATAACATGCATATAATGGCAATTCCTGTTAACTAAAAATTTGTAGAATAGAAGTCTACCAATCTAGAAGGGCTTAGCTTAAGTAAAAGTGGAGAGAATATTAACATTTTGTAGCTTCTTCTCCTAGACTTTTTATACAAGTATATATAGATATGTCCATATACATGTAAAATGTCTACTAAAATTAGTTCTTTCTGTACATTATCTTTTTTATGTAATGGTACCTTATGAATCATCCTCTGTAGAAAAAAATACATACTTTAAAACATCTCTTTCATGAACTGCCTAAAATATTAATATGGCATAATTTTGTTAATCTAAGCTTTTCTTGTTGAACATTCATCTTATTTCTAAAACCTCACATACTTCTGCACAGGAAGAGTTCCAGTATCATAAAACTTCAGTGTTAAGAAAACCTTCTGACTGGGGAAAAAAAATTTGGAAATACCTTTTCAGACAAAGGTCTCATATCAAAAGTTTATAGAGCGAGCTCTGGTGGCCTAGTGGCAAGAAGCTGCACTGCAATCTCAGAGGTACACAGTTCAAATCCACCCGATGCTCTGCTGGAGAAGGTGGAACAATCTCCTCCTGTATCAGTTAGATCTGATTTGATGGTACACACAAAAAAATAATGAAATAAAACAAAATTTTAAAAATATTAAAAAACAAAACTCCACACCAAAAAAAAAAGTTTATAGAAACCTACAGGGCCTCCACAAGAAAAAGACTGATAACATAATTACAAAATGGGCAAAAGACAATGGAAAGACTTTTCACAGAGGAAGATACTTGGATGGCCAACAGACACATGAAGATATGCTCAAAATCACTGGCAAGAAGAGAGATGCAAATCAGAACCACAGTGAGATACCATCTCACCCCAGCTACAGTGGCAAAGTTTTAACAGGTCAAAAAGTAATAAATGTTGGAGAGCATGTGGAAAGATAGGAACTCTTATACACTGTTGGTGGGAGTGTAAAATGGTACAACCGCTCTCTGCAAGGCAGTTTGGCATCTGCTCAAAAAGCTGAAGATAGAAATTTTATATGACCCAGTTATTCCACTGTTTGGAATATATCCCAAGAAAATTAGAACTGAGGCACAGTGGAGATTTGTACACCAACGTTCATAACAGCCTTATTCACCATCCCAAGAACATGGAAACAGCTCAGATGCCCAACCACAATCAAATGGATTGAGAAATTATGGTACATTTACATGGAGCTCTAGTGGCCTAGTGGCAAGATATTGTGCTGCAATCCCAAAGTCATGCGGTTTGAGGCCAATAGCTGCTCTATGGGGAAGGATGGGCACTCACCTCACATGTGATTAACTGCTTCTGAAAAACCACTGGAAGATCAGCTCTGGGTTGGTTCCGACTCTGTGGTACACAACAACAACAAACAACACGTGGTGGAATACTACGTAGTATGCAGGAGCAATGATTTTCAAATCACCATCAAACTTGGGACTTACTGAAGTGCTTTATGTTAATTGAACTAATTCAGTCCCATAAGGACAAATACTGTATAAGACCATTATTGTAGAAATAGAAACATAACTAGTAAAACATGTATGACTATCCAAGGCGGGAATGGTAGAGCAGAAGGTGAGGATGGGCAGGGGTAATTACAGAGTCGTACAATTTGATGGGTAGAGGATGAGGTGGGTAAAGTAAATGAGAAAGATATGGTGAGAAAAACAATGTATATGATCTTAGAAAGCCAACCAGTATAAAATAAGAACTTTATTTAAAAAAAAAACCAAACCCAACCCTTTAGTGTTTACCAAAGGAGTTTAGCAGAAATGGTAGTGGAACCAGCAGAAAAGCCCAGCTGATTTCCAGGCAAAAATCCTTTATATTTCCCTTCCTTGAAAGTGGGCATGGGGGGTAAGGGTGTATTGGAAAATTACAAGAAATTGTCCTGAGTTCAGAAATTGTCCCAACTCTCTTAATTAAGAGGGAAGTTCTTTGAATGGTGTAGATTTGTGCTTAGTTGGTAACCTAACGGTTGATGATTCAAACTCACATAGTACCACCAGGAAGAAAAAAAAAGGCCTGGCATCAAGATTACAGCCCAGAAAACAATGTGGAGCAGCTCTGCTCTGTAATGCATGGGCTGGCTGTGATTCAGAGTCTAGGTGACAAGCTTTTTGTTTCTGTTGAGGGAAAGATGATGGTCCTGCAAGTAGCCACAAAATTTCTACTGTGTCCAGCCCTATGCAGGAGGGCTCAGCAGCACAGCCCTTGTCCTCCGGCTCATGTTTGCTGAAACTTGATTGTTGTTGTTATGTGCTGTCAGCTCATAGCAGACCCTCCAGTGGATTTCTAGCTGGTAGATTGGCACCTTCTGGCCTCTGGGTTGGTAATGCAATTTCTCACCACTAGGCCACCAGCCCTCCTTAGATAGAGTCTTGATTAATGGCAACAAAGGACAGTGATTGATAATAAGATTGTGTAAATGAAATCATTAAGCTGTTTAGATAGATCTACCTGTACCAGTCAAGAGCTCAGGGGTAAGGGGGCCGCACAAGAAGTGTGGTGGTCAGAGAAAGGTTCAACGAAGAGGAAGCACTTAAAAATTGGTGGAAAATGGACTGCCTTGCAGGTAAAGGAGACAGCACAGGAACAGAGAGCAGAAATGACCTTGATAAGCATTATCACTCTGATGAAGTGACTTAAAACTTTAACTGGTTGGACTATCTAAAACAGACTAGAAGGGAAAGAGACCTTTCAGAACAGTATAGTAAACTAACATAGTGTCAACAAAACAAACTTAACTGGAAACTGAGGTGGAATTACAGTAACTTAGACAATGGGATGATGATGTGGTCATGAGCAGAGTCAGCAGTAACATTGGGGAGCGAGTAAAAGATGAAATAAAAAACCATTTAAACATAAAACCTTTCTAGGACTTAGTGACTGAGATGGGAGTTGAAAGGTAAACTTAATTTGAAGGAGGGTGAATTTCAGACATGTTGGATCTGAGGAGATGATAGAATATGGTTGGAAGAGCAATTAACACAGCCAGGGTATGGTGGATAGTGATAGAGCATGAAAACAGAGAGAGAGTGTCAGCTGTGACAGCTGAAACCCTGACATACACCTGTGTATCTACAACTCAAGTGGGGACTTTGTTAAAATGCAGGTTCTACATCTCTTAGCAGGAGTGGCATCTACTTCCTAAACATGCCTCTGGAAACTCTATGAACTTTGAGAAATGACAATAGTTATAGAAAGGCTTTAGGTCTTTTGTTCACAGGGTAGCTAATGAGTCGTACTTGACTTGATGCCAATCAACAACAATGTCTCGTAACACTTCACAAATGACATTGTTGTAAGCACACCGACTAGGAGGGTTGTAGGGAAAAGAGCCAGGAGCTGACACCTGTGCTTTACATATATAGTTGAAAATGCTCCTCATTGCCATTGAGGTTGAATGAACTTTGGTGACCCTCCAGCAGGTTTTTGAGAGGTTGTAAATTGCACTAGAAGGGGATTGCCCATCTTTCTCTTGAGGAGCTGCTGGTGAACTTGAACCACTAGAGAGGCCTAGCCTTTGGGTTAGCAGCACAACTCCCCACAGACTACATCAGTAGAACTCCCTTAGTGTGTTGTAGGGAGAACAGAATATCATAAGATGGAAAGATACACTTCCATGGTGATGTTCCTTGTTTTCTCTTCATTCCAGGCCCTTTGGAGAATACTTACCGTGATTTCTGGCTTATGGTATGGGAGCAAAAAGTCCTAGTGATTGTCATGACCACACGGTGAGTTAACCCCTTTTTTTTCCAGTGCCTGCCACCCTAACAAGCACAGATATTTCAAGAGTAAAGTTTAGTTTCAGTCTTCTGAGAAATGATGAGGATTAGGAAAGTCATAGTAAAGTATTTGAGATGTCATAGCATTTTCTTAGCTGGCCCAGCGTTAACACAGGCAAGGTATGGTGGAAAATGATTGATATAACTTGCCAAAACTTGAATCTATGGTTCGGGTAACCCCTGTGTTACTGTCTATTCCAAGGTCCTAGCCTTATCCACTGATTTAACTTGAATCTAGCCCTTATTTATAGAAGGCAGCTGTTTTCCTATTTTCTGGGATACCAGCTCCACCTTTGCTCTCCTTCTTGCTGTGTTTATCCATTTTCCTGCTCATTCATAGTTCTGCTTACAGCAGAATTTTTCAAAAGGAGATTTGAAATAGAGCAAGTAGAAAGCGACTGATGAAAGGACTATATTAAAAAACTATACTCTAGGCGAGCTCTGGTGGCCTAGTGGCAAGAAGCTGCACTGCCTCAGAGGTGCATGGTTCGAATCCACCAGATGCTCTGCTGGAGAAGGAGGAACAATCTCCTCCTGTACCAGTCAGACCTGATTTGATGGTATACACACACACACACACACACACACACACACACACAAAATAATAATGAAAATCAAAACAAAACTACATATATCTGCCAAAACTTAAGGAACTTTGTTTCATTCATATCATCAGTATCTTACAATAATTATACCCTGTTTCAGATATTGTTGTTGTTGTATACCAACAAGTTGGAACTGACGCATAGCTGATCCTCCAGCAGGTTTTCAGGGACAGTAAATTGCACAGGAGTTAATTGCTCGTGTTTCTCACAGAGCACTTGGTGGATTCGAACCACATATCATGATGTTGGCAGTGCAGTTCCTTACCACTAAGCCGCCAGAGCTTTCAGATGAGGGAGGAAAACAATTAATGACAGTATTTGCTCAGTTCCCTTCTCCAGGGCATTGTTATAGCCCCCTCTGATTTGGAGAGAAACTAGTGGAAAAAGTACCTACCTTGGGCTGCTTTGAAGCCACTGCAGTGTGGGGAGGTAGACCTTTAAACTTTATAAAAACATCCCACTGGCATCTCAAGAGCCATGCTTTCCCTTTCCTCCATGAGCCAGGGCCCTGACTGGGGAAGAGAATGAACAGTGACAGAGGTACAGGCCAGAGAGTTCTTTTATCCATCATATTTTCTGTACTGCCTTCTTTTGCTTACCTAGTCTTTAGCTCAGATGTGCAACAAGTACTGTGAGAGAGCAGGAATGGGACCAAGTGACAAAGTAAATGCTCATTAAATGCCTGACAAAGGAGTAGGTACAGAAACTATAGCTGTTTGACCTGCTTAGAAAGAGGGGGTACCTTTCTTTTCTATCAAGGAGCAAGGGTATGTCAGATAGAAGCAGGCAGTGGTGACATTGCTGCCTCAGGTGCAACAGGTCATGGGGGGAGTGGAATTCCTGCTGTGCTGAGAAAGGATGGAACTTACCTGGCTGTGTATCTTCAGTTTTGAGGAAGGTGGCAGGAGGAAGTGTGGGCAGTACTGGCCACTAGAGAAAGACTCTCGGGTTCGATTTGGCTTCCTCACAGTGACCAACCTAGGCGTGGAGAACATGAACCATTACAAGAAAACCATCTTGGAAATTCACAATGCAGAGGTAAATCCAGGTTTCTGTTTTGTTACTTTTTTGAAGCTTGGTAGGGTGAAATTTCTACTAAGAAAATTTCCATGGGGAATAGGTTGGATTCCAAGGAGATTATGGCAGATTGCTTTTTTTCTGAGAAAAGGATCAGGATATTTAACCTTGTACAAATTAGCCATGTTGGCTCAACATCACAGTGGCATTACTCTGTAAAAATTAGCCATGTTGGCTCAACATCACCTTGGCATTACTTAGGAATAAAGCTTCTAACATAAGAAATCTGGACATTACAAATACAGTAATTCTGCCCTTCTACACATTCAACCCTTCCTTTGGTTTAGGGTACCTCACACTTTGTAATGGACAAATAATTGTGGGGAAAATGCTAAGTGTGGTACTACTAGGTAGGAGCCATAGTTTGGTGGGAGTACCAGGGTGTTGAGAATCTGGAAAACCTGAAGTTTAATGAGGGTTAGACCAAAATAAACTCACTCACTTTTGTGTCTTTTTTCCTCTAAGGAGCGACAGAAACGCCAAGTGACCCACTTCCAGTTCCTAAGCTGGCCAGATTATGGCGTCCCTTCCTCTGCAGCTTCCCTCATTGACTTCTTGAGGGTGGTCAGGAACCAGCAGAGGTTGGCCGTCAGCAGCATGGGGGCACGATCCAAAGGGCAACCCCCTGAGCCACCCATCGTGGTCCACTGCAGTGCAGGCATTGGCAGGACAGGTAATGCACCTGACACAGCTCTCCACACACTTAGGGCCTGGATAGGTGGATGAGGAATAACAAAGCTCTCAGACCACATCTGTGAAAGATGCTAGTTTACAAGACAGTACTCATTTGATCCGTGGGTGAATCACTCTGAATAATTCCTGTTTAATGTCCTTTTGGTATTTCTATTGCTAGTTACTGGCTAGAAAGTAATAGTTCACAAGACAAGCCCTCTAGGCCTTAATGCTTTGGACATCTCAGCAGTATTGTCACCTTCTGAGGAAGGTCACTGTGTGTGTCCTTGGGCTTCCTGTCCCAACTCTTCCTACTGTGGGGTCCCCCACTGTGCTGCACTCTCTGTTCTGAAGCCATACGGCAGCCTTTTCCTTAAGAGGATATACATTGCAGGGACTGCTGTCCTCAGTTCAGAAGTTCCTTTGGGAGAAAATCAGGAAGAATTGGTTAATTCTAGGCTTCTGTGGGTGAGAGTCTCTGGCAATTAGTGTCCATGTGTGGGAGTACTATTTATTTATCTGTCGGGATTGAAGCAGGAAGTTCCTCTATGCCACCTACTCTCCCTGTACCCCATATTTGTCCTGACAAATAAGGGATCTCCTCATTTCTTTGACCTTTAATACTCTCGTGACCTCCTTTCTTAAGGGAACTTGCCTTTGAATTCCTTTATCTAGTCCTTCTTGGGTTGTTTGGGAGAGAGGAGTAAAGATAAAGGAGGTAAACAGGGTGTGACCACTTCTTCCTTCTACAGGTACATTCTGCTCACTGGACATCTGCCTGGCACAGCTGGAAGAGCTTGGCACCCTTAACGTGTTCCAGACGGTGTCCCGCATGAGGACTCAGAGGGCCTTCAGCATCCAGACCCCTGAGCAGTACTACTTTTGCTACAAGGCCATCCTGGAGTTTGCAGAGAGGGAAGGCATGGTGCCCTCCAGCCACAACCTGTTGGCTGTGGAGAGTCAGTAACTGTCTCACAAGCCTCCTTCTTGCTGGCCAGCCTTCCTTAAACTACCCTGGACACCGCTGAGCCTATATGTTACCATCAGTTATGCTGAAGTCATGGACCAACCTCTTTCTTATGTCTCCCAGCGCACGTGTGCACGCCTGGCAGCCTTTCCCATTGGCTAGATAGATGTGGTGAAATTGCCACTAGAAAGGGCCAGCAGCAATGTGTTCTTAATTCTTAGCACCTGCTATCGAACTGTGCCTTATTAAAACCAAATTGTGGCTATTGATTTTTGCCAGGGCCCCTAGGTAAATGGGGAAGGACCCTCCCCCTCTTTCCAATGCCATTCTCTTTCTTGAGGTCTCCTCTCTCCCACTCCTTGCTCGGATTGAATAGGGAAGTTTGGTGAGCATCCACCTTCCTCTCAAGATAGCTTGACCAAGTTACATATTCTAGAGAGCATCCCGAGTGCCAAGCACGTTGATACCTAGGGCGTGTATTCCAGTTTTTTCTGTCTTTCTGTGTGTGTGCTGCGTGTATGTGCACTTATGTGTATGGGTCCTTATGTACGTGTGTGTATATAATAATATTGTATGTGATAATATGGTCGTATTCTATAAATATATATACACACAGATATTCTTTGCAGAAGTTCATGGGGCTTTGTGTTGCAGTTCAGGCCTGCTTGCTATTTGGACCCTGCTGCTGATCCCAAAGTAGTTGGGGCTGCAGACCCTTTGGGTTGCCTGTTGTCAGACTGCAGAGTGATGGAAGAGGATACACACATCCCCTCTCCACACTTCTGCCACAGGTCTTTATCCCTAAGTAATGACTTGCTCCTCTCTGCATTTTTTTGGGTGGTACAGATGTTTAACACACAACTTAGGTTGGAGGTTCAGGTTCATCCAGAGCGCTTTGGAAGAAAGGCTTGACTATCTACTTCGAAAAACCAGTCACTGAAGATTCTGTTGAGGAAACAACAACAGGACCGTGTAGAGGCAGCTCTACTCTGACACATGTGGGGTCGTCATGAGTTGGAATTGACTACGTGGCAACTGGTTTTTTTTTGTGACACTGGCATAAGTCAGCATGCATTGTACTTACCTGGTGATTTTTCTCTGTTTACTCTGCCAATTTTGGAAACATACCTCCACTGTGATTCCACACCCTCTCTTTCCTCTCATTATTCCTCAGAGATAGGGGCCTGGAGGTAGAGTTGAGCTTCCTGAGTACCCAGAGCCAAAAGCAATCGGTACGAAGTCTTAGAAATCCAAAGGGGCAATTCAGGCCCGAGAGAGAGAAAACTGCTAGGAGAGTCTGAGCTGGGCCCCGTTTTTTTTTTGTTTGCTGGAGGGTTTCTTTCCTTTTGACACTTTTGCCACCTCCTCCTGTCTACTGACCTGCCAGACCCTTGAGCTTGAACTGAGTGGGTTTTGTGCCAATGAAAAGCTTATTCCCTGGTTGGGCTAGGTGGTCCCCTGTAAGCACTGCTCCATACATGCCCAACCCACCCTGCTTGTCCAGAACCCAGCCAACCTGATGTGCCCCAGATGGAATCAAGACTCTTCAGAACTCCACATTCCTACGAAAATGCCAGGAATCCCTAAATCCTTTTCCCCTATCACAGAAGATGAGGTTGGCAGCTGATCAGACCTCAATAATTTTATACTGTAATAAGCTCTTTGAATGTGTATATTCTTATTTTTACAATCTCTTCATTTTGTATTTAACATCAATGGACTGAGTCAGATTCAGAAATAATTGTAAATGTTCATATTCAATATCTTACAGTGATACAGTTTTGTATTTACATATAAATATACCGACATGATCAAACTCTTTTAGCTTCTTCAATTTAGCACCCTGGGGTTGGGAAGGTGAAGAGGGATCTAGGAGGTGGTTTTGGAGGGCTGGGGAGGTAGGGAGGAACCAAGGCTTGATTCTCCTAGGCTTTCAGTTCTGAGTGCTACCCACCTTGTGGGTGGCCTTAGGTCTGGGAGAATAAAGGGAACCAGTGCTTGCTGAGTGCACAGATTTGTGCTGTGTACATTCCTTCTTGTCCTTTTCACATGGTTCAGGGAGATATTACTCTCTCCCCTTTTCTCTCTACTCTTCTTTAATTTCCATATGATTTAGAACTGAAGCTCCAGTAGGTCTACTTGCAAAGTTTTCAGTCTTTCCTCTGTACTTTTTCTCTCTCAAAGATCAGGACAGTGCTTGGTCTTTGAAGGCCAGAGTATTTCCCCCCACCCCCTACCCCCTTCCTTCAGAATATAAGCAGTTCTTAGATTACAGCCATATAAGTTGACTACTTGATCTTGAGCTCACGTTGCATGTAGTGGACTAGAAGAGCGATTTGAAGTTGTTTCTCTCAGCTGGGATCTCCTGGTGTAAGGAATACCAAGGGGTCATTTTCCGAGGGAAACATAAAGAAAGGTGCACTGTTCTTTGGTGCTGTGGAAAGATCTTAAGTCATCTACATCTCTCTCAAAGAGAATAGAACAGTTTTATCCCAGTTGACAGCTCCTCACACCATCTTACTACTTTAGTTGGCCAGCGACAGGCTGTCCAGTGGCAGTTCTGGCCAAAAGAATGTACAAAGTATTAGGATGTTCTGAATAATAATTATAGCAGTTAACAATTACCAAATGCTTATTCTGTTCCAAGCACTGTTTTAAAGTGCTTTCTAGTATTTATCCTCAAGATAGTGTCTTTTTTTTTTTTAGGTGTGAACAGGTAACTTTACAAGCTTAAAACAACCTTCTGTTTTAGGTATTGACAGAAGTAAAAAAAAACAGGCATGGGAAAGTTAATTTGCCACAGATAAGAATTGGAACCATCTGACACTACGTGCTCTTAACTCTTATGTGAGATCACGTAATTATTACTCCTTATTAAGTAGATATTAATCCTTATTCATCTCCTCATCATCCAACATTGTCTTTTCACGTTCATTATTTATATCTTAATCAGGAACCGAAGTATATAGCAAACTGTACATGAAATCCTTGCCCCAGAAGAGCCTCCATTCTTTTTGGGGGAAACATAAAAGGTGAACAGAGAATCTCTGAAATTTAGAAAATAAGAAGTTAAGAGTTCAGTAGAATCTGTAGGAAATGAGTTTAATAAATGGTCTAACAGAGGTAGACTTAAACTGTCCCTTACTTGAAGAGACTATAACCCAGCTTCTCTGTAAACTCAGAAGTTACACAGTTCTTGTGGCCTGTATCTGAGGGTCAGTGAGGAGACTGTCACTTGTAGAACTTCATTAAAATGCAGGTTATTTATGTCCACTCAGTATGTGGTTAAAACACTCACTCAGAACTCATATTGACCCTCATTAGATTTCTGTGGCTGTGCATTTTAACAGGACGCTGCCCATCTTTTTCCCAGGGAGCTGCAGGTAGATTCGAACCACTAAAGACTGCAGCTTTGGGTTAGCAGTACAACTCACTTCCAACTCTAGTAGATGCATAAGAGTCATTATGCAAGTTTGGAAACTGCAGTATCCAAGTCCTGACTCAACTGATGTCTCTTGAATTTTCAGCCAATTTTTGAAAGAAAGGTATCAGTAGCTTTTCCCCTACCGCTATGGTTAACCTATTGTTTTTACTATCAGGAAGATAATTAATACGCAGTGTTAGTCTCCAGGTGTGTAAAGAGGAAATAAAAGCAGGGGAATGCAGAGAAGGAGCCCTGAACCTGAGGAGTCATGATTCTTGGAGGCAACTCTGAACTAGGTGAGAGAACCCACAATCAGAAGATGAACTGTATAGTTGACTTTAAAAAGTTGACTGCAAAAAGAGTATTGTGAGCTAAAAGCAAATATGAGCTTATGATTTGAGAATTTTTTTTTTTACTTTCCCTCTAGTATTATGGTACAGAATTCTTCAGAAACACCAAATGACCACATTCTTCTTGCGCCCCTGTTGTTCTGTTCATTTTGCCCAGCCTTGTCAGCTAGTATAGGACCCCTGAGGTAAAAGGTCCCTCAGCACTCTCTGCTTAGGGAGTCCACCATTATCTGCCTCCATGTGGCAGAATGCAGGTAAATGACAGGGTGGAACTTGGTGAACTGGACTATTACTGTAGAATCTTGATATGTGGGAGATAGGACTCTTGCCCTTAAAGGCTTCTAATGACCAAGCAGAAAAGTCTTCTAAGAATGAGTTTGCTTTTTAATGGTTTTGAGGTCTTAACACTCAATCTATGCATGCCAAGTCCTCAAAGAGCTTGCACGAGATAATCCTACTAAGATCCTGAGACTAGGAGTCTAGTTCTTGGTTGGGCAGTGGGAAGGCACAGGAAGGATTAGCAGACCTCCATTCTCCAGGTGGGTAGGATACCATTTTAGCTTATTTTCAAACTATATTTCAGTGAATAAGGATGATCAAAGAAGAATTGATGCCTTCGAATTCATAATGGTATTGAGGAATATTGAATACACCAGTATTCAATATTGTGTACCACCAAAAGAACATCTCTCCTGACCAACTGCTTCTAGAATGCTGCTTAGAAGCAAGGGTAGTGAAACTTCCTCTCACTTCTTTAGCCATGTTATCAGGAGGGGTCATGCTTGGAAAAGCAGAGGATCAGGGAAGAGAGGAAGACCTTCAAGGAGATAGATTGACATTGGTCATCAACACAGAGATTGTGTTGTACATACGGTCATCACAAGTTGTCACCACACCATTGTATTTCTTCAGTTCCCATCCCAGTATGCCCACAGCTTGGATGGAAAGCAAGCCAGTTGACTGTCCTTGTCTTCCTCAAGACCAGCCAGTCCTGCAACTTAAGGCTTCCTTCCTGTTCTGTGTGGGGAAGACAAACTCAAGGTTCCAACGATTCCAGACCAAACCTTAGATTTGTCACTGGCTTTGGTCATTACCTAAGGACCATTGTTAACTTACCAAAAACCAGAGGTGAATCTCCCACAAGGGAACTTATGTTGACAGATTTTTCTCTTGGGAGGTGTGTGCCTCATAGTTAAAAACACACATTGGTTATTCAGTCAGGTGTCTAGGTTGCCCTGCTACTGCCAACCACAGGGAAACCTAGGTCTTCTCCGTAAGTAGAAATCCAAGCATTTTCTAAATGCTGTTGAGTGTATGGTTATTCTCCACTCCTTTATCAGTTGCCCTCAGGTCCTTCCTCAGCAAAATCTGACATGACGCAGTTTTAAATACTCAATATTTTTTGATGAGACTAAGCTAGCTAACCTAGAATCCTAGCTGATGGGGTATCATTCACGAATAGAGCATTTGACTGCAGAATCCTACCTGGGAGTGTTGGCTGGGGCAGAGGTGCTTTTTCAACAGCTGCTTAAGTTAGACGATGATGACTGTGGTGGTAGAAAGTAAGGCAGTGAGAGGAGATTTTATTTTATTATTATTTTTTTTTAAATTTTTATTATTTTTTTTGTGTGAGTGTACCGTCAAATCAGATCTGACTGGTACAGGAGGAGATTGCCCCTCCTTCCCCGGCAGAGAATCTGGTAGATTCGAACCGGGCACCTCTGGGACTGTAGTTGCAGCTTCTTGCCACTAGGCCACCTGAGCTCCCCCTTTTTTTAAAATTTTTATTATTATTATTTTATTATTTTTGTGTGAGTGTACCATCAAATCAGATCTGACT